ATACTAAAATTTTTATATATTATTAAATGATAGAATTATATGGGATTATGATTTTGATAAATAAAGGTTGAATAAATGATACATAATTACATTAATTAATTTAAATAAAAAACATGAATATCTTAAATCAAAAATAAGTGCAGGAAAAATAAGAAACAATATGTAAAATTCATAATCTAGAATTGATCGCTGTTGACTTTGACTTATCAGATAAATAATAGATATCATTCTTTTGTGGTAAATGCTTAGTTGAGAAAATGAATAACAATAAAGTGACTACGATTGAGTAATCAAAAGAGAGAATCTAATTAGTGAAGGCTTAATAAAGAGATATCAAAACTAAAGAGAATCAAGCAAGACTAAGCTATTATAAAAATATATTAGATTAAATTATGGATTTCAAATAATCAATAAATGATTCTTTGGAGAAGATGTACAAATAAATATAACAATATATATATCCAATTTAAAAAGAAAAATAAGAAATATAAGAATATGAATAATAATTAAATTACTTTGAAGACATAAAATAATTGTCTGAATTATATTCTTAAGAGTAATAGAAATCACCTAAATTAATAGAAGATAATCATTTCATCAATGAAATATAAAGATAATTTGAACTATTATTCAATAGTTCTGAATACTTTTAGACATTAGATACATTTAAAAATACAAAAGAAACAATTAAAGATATTATGGAAAATAATGTTATTGAGTTAATTCCTTAATTTATCAAAAAAAATGATTATGTATAATCTATATAATATTTATAGAAAACACCAAGTTTAAGTAGAATTTGCAGTAATCATAAAAAGGAGATTATTATGATTGATATGGATTCATCAACCAATAAAATTGAAGATAGATTTGCATGTGTTGACTGTATATCTGAAAATCCATAAATAAAATATTCAACCATTGAAAATGTGGATAAGTAATGGAAGGAATACAATACAGAAACTGAAAGGATACTGATATAATATAAAAATGAAAGCAAAGAAAAAAAGTCCGAATTATTCAATTAATTAGCTCATATGAGAAAGAATTATAATAAAAAATTGAATGAAATAAGTGATAAATTGATTACAGAATAATTTTTATCCATTGATAAAACTAAACAACCTAATTAAATAAAAAAGATTTCGATTTAAGCATTAGATGATGAATAATTATTGAAAGATTTGAAGTAATTGACTGAAAAGGAAAAAGAAAAAGTATCATAAAGTTAAATAATTACAAATTTAAAAAATAAGGATTAGATTTTCAAAAAAGATATTTAGTATCATTTAGAATCTTTGCAATAATATGACTAATAGGATATTTAATAATCATTGGATGTACTAAAGGATCTTTCAAGTATCAAATTTAATAAATTTTTTTAATAGTTGAAAAAAATTTAATTATCTAGCTGATTGATATGATCTAAGAAATGTAAACATGTGCATAGAAAGATGAAAACTATAAAAACTAAATTAATTTTATAAAAGAAATTTAAGAATTGATTGATTAAGCTAAAAAATATCAATGCCAATTAAATCTATTTGATTAAACTATCATCGTTTATTAATAGCATGTTTAGAAGATAGAATACATTTAATAAAATATATAGATTAAAACTTAAGATTAAACGATTAAATCCGAATAGTTAAAGACTTAATATTCTAAATTATCAAATATTTTGAATGAATATTCAAATACATTTGATAATAATAGTGTATAATTGAAAAAATATTGTACAATAAAATAAATGGAGAATGACATAATAAAATTAAATGAAGCTTATAAAAAATTAGAAGTTGAAAGTAATGCTTTATAATATTAAATAGAAAATGATTTTATTAGTTCTAAGGAATAGTAATTTGAGTAGAAACTTAATGAGATAAATGGAGTGTTATAATTAAAGGAAAAAGAATAAAAGGATATGATAGAATAATATTAATAAGCAATTTTAGATAATACAAATGTTAAAAAGTAATATGAATTAGATAAGATGGCAATTATGAAGAAATTGGAAGATGAATGTAATGAATTTGATTGTATTGCTTAGAAAATAAATTAAAATAGTAATTTAATGAAAATTTAAGTTAAAAAGAATCAGAATTAAAAGAAGCATTAAGTAAACTTGATTAAATTAATAAAATTAA